CAGGCAGGTCAAAACCTTCATCTGTTTTAACTCTACAACAATAAGTGCACTTAGCAACACACTTCCACTTCTTCCCTACATTTGATGGAAAAGTGGTTGTGGGTCCACAGAGCATCTCTTGCTCGCTATGTTACTTCCTTTTGGTGTTTCTGGTGATATAGTTTAATGGGAATTTCTACTGGAAACTGGAAAGTGAACGTGAGTTTGAATTTTTGTCATTGTTTCCAAAAAACCATAGCTATATCATATGCTATTCTAAGAGAGAGAGAGAGAGCGAGAGAGCGCAAAGTAAATTTACCAACTCTTTATATTATCAGTGTAGACACTCATTTTCGTCCGATTTTTTTTATTATTTTTGTTTTATATATATATATATATATATTAATTTAGTATAATTTTTGAAAATATATATAATATATAATTTTTAAAACATTTTGAAAACTTATATAATATATAGTTTTTAAAATATTTTGAAAATATATATATAATATATAGTTTTTAAAACATTTTAAAAATATAAATAATATATAGTTTTTAAAACATTTTGAAAAAATATATATAATATATAATTTTTAAAAGATTTTAAAAATATATATAATATATAGTTTTCAAAACATTTTGAATATATATATAATATATTAGTTTTTAAAACATTTTGAAAAAAATATATATAATATATAATTTTCGAAACATTTAGAAAATATATATAATATATAGTTTTAAAAATATTTTGAAAAATATATATAATATATAGTTTTAAAATATTTTGAAAATATATTATATTATATGGTTTTGAAAATAATTATTTTGAAAACGCATATATGATATATAATTTTTTTAATTTTTTTATATTATTATTTATTTAATTTTATTTATTTACTTATTTTTCTTTATTATTTTTTGGTCTAGGGTCCAATAATTCTATCCAAGTTAAGGGGCTGCCCAACAGGGTTTAGGCCTGACCCAACCCAATCTTAGATTAGGGTTTCAATAATTTGTCAAGGCATTGCACAGTCAGGGAGCCATGCAGTCAAAGCATAACTGGCCTGCCGAGAAAATCGAGACTGCACCATCCTAGGATTCCCGTCCACGTGAACGACGGTAAGCCCAAAATAAGGGGAACGACCCCTTCACGATCGACAACCAACCCTCGAAGGAGTGGTATAAATAACCACAGTGAACACAGATCAAAAGGACACAACCATCGAACACAAAGAACAGAACTGTGCAACCGAGAACCATCACAAAACAACACCACAATCGGGGAGAGCAACCAACCACATCAATATCGAACCAAGAACAACAAAAACCACCAAAGTAAACCACAACAATAAACTACAACGCACAGAGAAAACCAAGCAAATAAATACTCGAAAAAACTGAAAGCCAAGCAAAACAAGAAGCAAGCACGCCGGGAAAATGAAGGGTCGCTGGAAAAGGTATATATCGAGACCTTTTAGCCTAGATCTACATCGAAAGGGTTCAATTTTGGTGTTTTGGAGTTTGGATTTGGGGTCTAGAGGGTTAGATGAGCATTTTGTGGTGTTTTGGGTTTGCCCGGCCACCGCTCGAGTGGCGGTCGGCTATGCGGCCGGTTTCCCTCCGATGAGAGAAAGCTAGAGAGAGGGGAGAGCTTCTATCTCTTGGAGAGAGAAGCAAAAATGAAGAAATGACAGTTTGAGGCCTTAATGGCTGGTATTATGGGTATTTATACTCTCCTCAAAACTACGTTGTTTTGGGGAGGGGTTGCTGTGTAATTTACAAGTGGGTAAACCTTGTCTGCAGTCCCTATAATTTGTAACATTTATATTTTAGTCACTGAAGTTAATTTTCAGTATTCTTAATTTGGATTTCCAATTTTATTATGTTTATATTTTTGTCGCTATTTGAAATTTAGGATTAATTATTGTTTAGCCATCCTAACCTTTTATTCTTTGTTTTTGCAGCTCATTTTTAGTTCCGATTTAATCCCTTAATTTTGATTTGTTTCAATTTGATCCTCTAAGCTTTTATTCTTTTTATATTTTTTAAATTATTTTTTCTTTCTTTTTTTCATATTTTTTTATTTTATTACTTTTAGAATCTAACATTTTTTCTTTTATTTAATATTTTTTATTATTATTTTTTTATTTTATTTCATTTTTTTCATTGATTTATCTTTTTTATTCATTTTTTATTTTATTCATTTTTTATTTATTTTATTTATTTTTTTTATGTTTTATCTTTTGATTTATTATTATTATTATTATTTCTTATTTCTTATTTTTATATTTTTCTTTGATTTATTTAATATTTATTTATTGTTTTTATCTAACATTTTTGGTTTTTTAGAAGAATTTCAACCAATCAAAGGTAAGTAATTTGAATCGAACATTTTAAATTTCAATTTAAATTTAAATTTTCACAATTAAGACAACTGACAAATTAATTGGTACCGAAAGGGCAATGCAACGGTGCTAATCCTTCCGACTCCCGAACCTGACACATTTATGGTAAAACGCAGATCAGGTAAGATGGTATCCGATCAGCCTAAATATTTTTTTAATGATCAGTGACGACTCTAACCATTTCATTCAAGTCGAAGCCCAATTCCATGCCCACCCGAAAGACGGCCGCGACACAGTGTATAAGAAAGATGTTAATAGGCAAGACAGGCATATCATCTTTAGCAAACAAAACCCTAAACAGACAGTAAAAGGTCTGATGACAACAACTGCAAAACCTTGCTCAATAGGTATGGAATTGTCTACTGAGATCATTGCAAATTCTAGTCACTAACCACAAAATCAAACTAACAACTAATACTTGCTTCAGCCACCATTATAGAATTATGTTTCTTCTTTACATAAAAAGGATCCAATATACTAAAGAAGAAAATAACACAGAAACGCTTACATAAAAGCATGGTGAGAATAAGTAGAAGAATTCCCACACATGAATAGAGTATTAGTAGTTTGCATCGATGTGGATAAGCAGGAAACAAGCAAATAGCAAGTGTCAACACAGGCCAGAAAAAATCGGAGAAGTGTTTGCCATAACGGCCGCCGTGTCACAAATGTCCATGCAAAAAAGCTTTCATTTTCGGAGAAGACTTGCTCCTGAAAAAATTGTCAGAAGATCAATAATTCCACGTAAAAAGAGCATTAGTTTCCAAAAGACATTTGATTCAGCAAAATATTGTTTCTGCTTTGGTTACAAATCATGAAAAGCATTTTTGTGTGTATGAAACAATCAAGATGTTACGATAGATTGCCAAATAAACACACACACACACACTACTTCAAGAGCTAAATGAAAGAGAAAACAAAGGATGCGAAGAAAAAAAGGCACTGAAATTGGGATGAGGGAGGAGGAAAAAAGAACTTTTAAACTGAGCTATGTAGAAAGCAAATTATAGTGAATGGTTATAAATAAAACAAAAGTCATTATCCTAATTAAGACCAAATAACATAAAAAGATAATAAACCTCAGGCATAGGAGGCTTCAGGCTTGACGAATGAGTCAATAAGATTGAAAAGTCCCTAGGAGGCTAGAACAACACACAAGATAATATTATTAAAAAAATGTTCAAACAGGGGACATCGTAGGGCAGGCCATGGGTATATCTGTGCACGGTCCCGCTGGGCTTTTTAGGGCTTTTTCGGAGATCGGTCCGACTTAATATTGAGAACATGTCAAGTTTTAAATAAATATAAATTTAGAGTCGCCATCGACTTTTGGGTTAGGTAAGTCGAATACCTAAAAATATCTTTTAAAATAATTTTAAGAAAAATAATTTTAAAAGATAAAAATTTGATCTGTGTTTGACCAGAGATTAATTTTGAAAAGGGTTCGGGAGTCGATTACGTGTAGAGAAGGATTACACCCCCACAACGCCCAAAATTTCTACTTACACGATTATACGCCATCTTAATATTAAAATTGGCAAATTCGAATAATATTTAAATTATGATATTTGTTTTTTAGAAAAATAAAAAGAGATTATTTTATACGAATAATCCTTATAAACACACTCCTTGTTAGTTAAGGCGCATTTCTATAAATTCCTTGAATAAAATAACATCTAAAAATATTATAATTAACAAATATGTAAATATTGGATTAAAATAATAACTTATGATAAATTTAGGGATTAAATTATAAAACTACAAAAGTTCAAGGCCACTATTGTAAATAAACCATTAATAATATTAAAAATATTAAAGTTCAGGGATTAAATTACAAAACATCGAAATTAATGGTCATAAACAGAAACATCGCAAAATCGATGTACTTCATGTGTAATTTAACCATAAATAACTATTCAGGATTAAAAAGTAAATTATTAAAATTAAAAGATTAAATCTAATATTTACCCAAAATACATATGAACATAAGGTTAGTGACTAAAATAGAAATAAAATAAAATTCGAAGACCAAATTAAAATACACATAAATCAATTTCCAATGACTAAATTGTAAAGTTTACAAATTATAGAGATTGTGAATGAGGTTTACCCATACATCAAACACGTAGATATTCCAAAACGACGTCGTTTGGGGAGGGATATAAATATCCCAAAACCGGCCCTAAAAGGCCTAAAGCTTTCATTTTCTCTTTTTTGTTTCTCTCTCAGAAGCTCTGCATTCTCTATACAATTCCCTCATCGGAGGGAAATCGGGGAGAAGCCGGCCGCCGGTCGTCGTATACCGACATTTCCGTCATTGCCGACCACCATCCAAACTTTGTAGATCTAAGAAAATACTTACGAAATCTGACAGTTCCACGCGGTTTGAATGTGCAAAAAAATCCGATCCGACCGATCCGATCCGTTGATCCGTTGATCTGATCCGAAAATTTGGATATCCGATCCGTTTTTCAATTTTCGGATAATTTGGATCGGGTATCCGAAATTTTTTTCGGATTATCCGAAAACCCGAAAAAATTAGGGATATTTTCTTTATATCCATTAAACATGCTCGTTCTGGTTTCAACATACTGGTTTACTCGATCTGGTTTTCACTATGCGTCCAGAGAGGTGGAGAAAGCTTAGACCAGCTCTATCATCGTGCTACATCTTCATTACAGAGAATTAGTCAGAAACACACAGGTATATACTGTCATTTTTTAACAATCCGTCCAAGTTTTACCCGACAGGACATGTTTTTGGTTCGAATATTATGAATTGTTGCCTGTTTCCCGATATGTTAGGAAAGCGAGTCGTCGTGGTGACTCATGGAGGTGTCATAAGGGCACTATATAGGCGGGCTTGCTCGACAAGGTTCCGGGGAAGTATACTAAATACTTCTGTGAACATATTTCATATATCTGGTGATGGTGTGTGGACCATAAAAGCTTGGGGTGATGTCACTCATCTTCACCAAACATGACAGTATTCTATGTCTGGTTTTGGGGTTAACAAAGCATCATCTGCGGTTACTTCTGTTGTCACTTGAATAAATCAACAATGTCTTTGAAACTTATTAGGGATTAAAGAATGTCTTACGTGGGATACTTCTAACAGTATTCTTTAATTGATATAATAGTTGTATGTATCGGTTATTTTATTGCTTGTTTACTGAATATATTTTTATTGTTTGTTTACAGAATATGTCATCTTTTGAGAATGAAGATTTTAATTTCGTATTTGTTGATTCGATGATGGAGTCTGATGAGGGGAAAACAAAATTCATCAGCAAAAAAAACTTTTGTCGATAAAAAAGCAAGCAAATATGAATATTTTAATTCCTGTTACTTTTTTTTTTGATTTTTTTTGCAAAAAAAAAAATCGAATTCGGATCCGTATATTCGGATATCCGATCCAAAATTTCGGATATCCGAATTTTCGGATATCTGATTTTTTCGGATCGGATACGGATCATTACTTTAGGTATCCGAAATTTTCGGATATCCGAAAATTCGGATCGGATAATATCCGATATCCGATAATGCACACCCCTAGTTTGAAGGACTCCGACGATGGTAAGTTTCTCCTCTCTCTATTTTCTTTTCTTTATTGTTTTCGGTTATTTCTTTGGTTGCCTCTATTTTTATTTTTTTCTCTGTTTGTTCTCTTCGAATAGATGTCCTCTTGGTTCCCTCTGTTTACAGGTGGTCGAGTCCCTCTTATAGGGCTCGATGTGCGTTCTTCGGACCTGTTAAATAGATGAAACCCGATGAGTCACCGGAGCTATGGTGGTGACTCGCCATAGGGGCGACTAGGTGCATTAAATGCATCCAGATCTCCTGGATCTGGCCGGTTAGACGACGACTGCGTGGCAACTGCTAGGTGGAACACTTGGAGGTGGCGAAGCGGGCTTATCCTTAGGCTAAGGCGGTGGCTGGCATAGCCCTAGGGTTATGATGAAACCCGTGGTCTAGACCAATCTGGACCGTTGGATCTCTCCCAGATCCAACGACTGAGAAGGCCGGCGGCTTCAACAGAAACTCTAGATGCATTCGAGCCTGGATCGAGTTGGGCTTCTCGGGTCTGGATCGAATTATGAACTTTTTTGTATTTGGGTCGGGTCCCTTATAAAATAGGGCTGCTGTTTTTTTTATTGGGCCTCATGTTTGTTTTGTTGTTGGGCTTGGTTTGTAATTATTACTTAATAATAATAATAATAAGGTTAAAGTATATTAATGGTCAATGAATTTTTCTAAAGCTTTCATTTAGGTCCCCAACTTTTAAAACTTACAATATAGTCCTCCAACATTTAGTCCGTTTGCAATATGGTCATCGACGCTATACTACTGTTAGTATGTTTGCAATATGGTCACTGAACTTTTCAGGTGCTTGCATTTAGGTCTCCCAACTTTTAAAACTTGCATTTAGGTCCTCCAACTTTTAAAACTCGCAACACAATCTTTAATTTCATTCTAAACCCCAAATTCCTTTTCGATCTCAAATTTCATTTTTCGCTTCTCTATTCTCAATAACTTTTCAGTCGGGGATGCATGGGAAATTCTAATCTAACTTTGAATTATGTGGAGGTGTTGACTTGAATAAGGGTTCATTAAGAGAAGACTCGACCAAGGGACTATCGGGACCATCAACAATTCAAGGTGTACTTTTAGATACAAGTCATCTCAGGTGAAACAAGATGTTCGATGAAATGCTTGTAAGAAAAAAATGGGGTTAGAAATGCAGAGTTGACAAATACTACTAAGATGAACTAAGTATCATTGTTGAAAGTCACTAACAAAACTATAATTATTTTGTATAAATGGCATATAATAATTTCTTCGTTTGATCTTTGTGGTTAAAGATTTTTCAACAGATGATCAAATATAATGAAATCTCAAACAACGCATTCACCTCTCAGTCTCTTTCGCTCACATGCACTCTCGTTTGGTTTTTGTTCTTCAATTTTTCGTCATGTAAAATTGTAAACTCAAGCAGTGCTTTGTCTTTCAGCTTTTTATTTACAAAGAAAAAATGGAGGAAGAATTGTTGGAACGCAACACCGATTGCGTTTATTTCTTAGCCTCCCCTCACTTGCAAGAAGGTATTTATTTTCTCTTTGGGCTATCCAAAAGTAAGCTTTTCCGCTTTCGCATTTTCTCATTTTCAGCTCGCATTGTGTGTTTTTTGTTGAAATGTTTTTGTTTCTGGAACTGTATGTCAATGATCTGGATATTCAGTGTTAGTTTTGAATCAAAACCTTCTAATTTTCTTTCTTTCTTCTTAATCAAAACTTTTAGTACTCCTTATGAAAGATATTCAATCTATCAAAATAGAAGTGAAAGATGGTCCTAGGCTATTTTTTTTTATCTTCTTGTTTGGTTTTTCTTTAAATCAGGAAATTGGTTGTGAGTATCGACATAGTGAAATCGCTAGGCTCAATCCGAGAGACTGATAGTACTATTTACTGGGAATTGTATTGATGACCTATGGTTTTCAGCGTCTTGTGAGCTTGTATTCTTTTTAATAAGTTCGTGTTGATTATGAGACTGATATATCGTGAACGAATTGTATTTTTTTTACATGTTTTGAAAATTTTACAGTTGAATTGTATTGAATTATAACTTTAGAAGATAATTCTGTATACACGCAACTCGAAAGATATCATGACAGGGTAGTATATTTAGAGCAATGTAACCCTTCCAAATATAATGAATAATTCAGACATCTGAAATGTGTATCCATTTCTGGGAATCTATCCCTTCGTTTCTTTACTGCTAAAGATAATTAAAAAGAACGTTCCAAAAAGAATAAAACTAACACATGCAAAAAAAAAACTGCACTGCAGCAATACAATTAAGATGGTTCCAGCAGCTAACACGAACGATATTAACAATTCAAATGAAATGTTTTCTTTACTCGCGAAATGATCGTAGTGTTTAGATTCAACCCATAAAAATAAGAATCAAAGCCAAATGAAACATGAACAAATAGAAAACCCTATATCAGAGAAATGAGGGGAAAAGACAGATCAGGGTTTCAAATCGCGGTTGCGGTCGCATTTTTGGTTATTTCAGATTTATCGTGATTGCGTCCGTCGCGGGTGCTATTGTGGCCATCACGGACGCTATTGCGGCCGTCGCGGGTAACTCAGACAGCGGCAAAACTACTATATCGCGGCCGAAATCACGGTCGCGGACAGTTTTTTAAAACACCTTGGAAGGGGTGACGGAACTCTGATCTCCTAGCCTTCTTCTTCTCTGCTGTTCCAGATTTCTTCATTTTTTCCCTTTTGTATTTTTCTCTGCTATTTGGTTTCCCATCCCACTAATTGTATCTTCAGTTGTTTTCTGGGTGATGCTTCAGAAATTTTATAACATGATAAGAAAAATATGATAATGTAAACTAATAAATGTGATAATTAAAGTCTTTATATAAATATTTGTTTTATTCTGAATTCAATATTTTTTTAATTTGATCTCATTAAGCGTATTATTATTTTTAAAAATCGTGAGTTTAAACAACTGTATTTAAAGTGTATACGTAGATTTGCAGAGTATGTGTGCTGCACTTGTTCATACTTCATAGTGAGCATTAGGATTCTTAAATTTAAGCTTTTCAAATGATTAGAAACTAAGAAATTAATTAAAAACAAGTCACTGCTGTGTCAAAAACATGTATACTTTCACAATGGTACCCAAACTTAAACATAAGCACACAAGAGTCCAACCAAAGATTCCCAACTTTGACCTAAACAAGGTTCTTGAGTTTGGATGAACCCATAAATGTTGCAGTATAAAAGTTTTTATTCTGATCTTAGTTATCATTCACAAGTCATAGCTGGCTTTAATTACTTGTGATACTCCAATCACCCTGCAAATTTCAACTTGGATTCGGCAAGTCTATCTCTTTCACCCATCCCTACTTCTTCCTTTAATTAGGTGGTGGTAGTGGTGGTTGGCGTTCTTGTTTTTTCCTTTACATTTGGAATTAACATAAATTAGGAGAAAACCAAAACTAGAAACAAATTTTTTTTTTCTTATTTTCTGAAGTTTGGGTATTTTAAAACAAAACAATTATGAGATAAAAATAGAAATAGAAGTGTTTGAAAGAAGAGAGCTTTGACTCTCAATCTCTCTCTTCCATGTCATCTCCTTCCTCACATTTCGCCAAAAATATAGAAACCCTGTTCATTTTCCTGAACACTTAAAGGATTTTAATTTTCAAAACCCTTCTGGGTTTTCTTCTGATTTCTTAGTGCCCATATTTGTCAGAAAAAAGGTGGGGTTTTTCCCTAAAACAAATTGCTTGTCTTTGTTTAAGGTGATCCATTTTTAGACAGATTTTCTGGGATATTTTTTTTCTTGTTGGAGAGAGTTGTTGGCACTTCGTGGATAATATTGTTTTTTCTGGGTTTGTTTCTTATGCTAAATACGTTTCAAAGCTCCACTCTTTCAACTTTTTAAGTTTTATTTTTGTGTTTTTTAAAATTTTATTTTTGCAGGGGGAAAAAACTCATTTCCCCCCTTAAACTCTACCTGTGTTGTGGATCTACGATTTGTTATTTGGCTATGTATATGGTTTACCTCATAAGTTTCTGATATTGGTTCCTTATTTCATCTGTTTCGCCTACAGGATTTTTCCAGGAAATTTCAACAAAGTTGAGAGCTGTTTCTTGTTTTGGAGCTTTTTTCTTTTTGATCCATGGGAAATTGCTGTGTTACCCCCAGTTCGAGTGTTGAGAATAAGAAGGGGCAAAAAAAGAACAATGCTAACCCTTTTTATGGAGATGAATATGCTGTCAACAATGGATCTGCTACTAACTTCAAGCTAAGGGTATTAAAGGAACAGACTGGTCAAGATATTTCAGCTCAATACGATCTGGGCCGTGAGCTGGGGCGCGGCGAATTCGGGGTGACTTATCTGTGTACCGATGTGAACTCCGGTGAGAAATATGCTTGTAAATCGATATCCAAGAAGAAACTGAGGACCGCCGTGGATATCGAAGATGTGAGGAGGGAGGTAGAGATAATGAAGCATTTGCCTAAGCATCCTAATATCGTGACATTGAAGGATACTTATGAGGATGATGATG